TGTATATCCAAGAGCCAGAATATAATAAAGAATTCAATGAACCTGAAGAAGTGCTTAATCTCTCCACTAATCGTTGGGTTAAAAGGAAAGGAAAATTATATAATAGATTGTTACGCAAAGGATATAAATATGCCAGAGATTTTACGCATTATTTAGAAGATATTCTACCAATCGATTTAGATGAATACAGTATAATCTACCCCCTAGCTGACTTTTATTATTCTGCTCTGATACCACCTCTTTCTATTTTAGCCCGAAGAGGTGACATATGTGGAAAATGTCCGATTACTATGTCATCTATTGTCAAAGGAGGAATAAGTCTTTTCACTATAGAAAGAAATGGAAAAACGTCTTTAGATAACTTGATCGAGATGAATTACTCCTGCTTATCTGCATTATTAGAAATGTGTTGGGATAGTAATAAAGTGCGCAAATAGAGAAGTGTTATACTTATGAAATTTCTCTATCATCCAAATTTGATTTTCTCAAAATATAGTCCAAACGCCTTATATAATGCATTCACCAAGGCAAACGTTCTAGAGTCAGAACATATATTAATTCTAGCTCGACAATATACTAAAAAATAAAACACAATATACAATTAATATAGCCTGGGATCCTACACCAAAGCTATAAATTTTTTTCGTTATATTCTATATATTAGTAAATTTCAAATCGACATACTACTCTTGCTTATGCAAGTACATAAACTTTTTTTTTCTAGGTATAGGAGGAAAAAGTGTAATTAATTTCCATTTGAAAAAAGAATCTCAATAGTATATATCAGACGAAAGTAGTCTATATAAAACATCTCAACCAATATATACAAACTATGGCAAAAATCGCTACATTATTTGTAAATCGCTACAAATTGACTCCTCAAACTAGTTTACCACAGCTTAGTAGTTATTTCGAAGAGTTGGCTAGTAAACTTTCAATTGGCAAGACAAAAGAGCAGACCCAAAAAGCCAGAGATCAGGCCAAAAGACGCTTCCAAGAATTGGGATTAAGTAAGGAGCAAGCTGATACTCTTATTCCTATTCGAGCTCCTGGGAGACATGTTGATGAAAGAGATTCTATTAAAATTATTGCCCAAGATATTATAAAAAATAATCTCTCACCTGAAGAAATAAATGAAATAGTATATGACTTGGCTTCCTCTGCTCCCACTACTGTTGCGGAAAATTCTCGTCTTAATTTATTATGAAAAAAATTGCATAGCTTAGGAGCTGATTATCTCATCATTAAGGCAACGAAAATACCCTTTATTACTGAAGAAGCAAATCAGATTCAAGCAAGAAAGCATATACTTCGTGGAATTAATGGTTATGATTGTCCTGAGTTCTTTTATCTGGAAAAGGTTCAGGAAAGACTTAGCGAATGTGATACTACCAAGCCTCCTTCAATGCAAAATCTAATAGATGTAATAATAATGCTATGTATGCGATCAGCAGATGTGAAAAATCTTCGTATCAACCAATACAAACCAAGTCACGAGTTATGGTATAATCCTGACTATTCTTGGTACTGTATTGGTTATGCAAAAAATAAAGGTGAGATAGAAGAACCTCGACTATTCCTTTCAATGGAAAAAAATCCAATACGAGCAAGAGAATTACTTATCTGGATTCAGAGATCAATACCAGATAAATTTTCCTTCTTGTTAAAAGATAAGAATGAGAATACTAATGTTGCACCTCTTAATTAATTATTAAGTCGCCATAGAATTACCTCATATATATTAAGAAAAATAGGTGCCGATCATGCTTCCAGAGTATATGGAGGTAGGAATAATTCCTGCCATCAATATTTATGACAATTGGCATATAGATATAAAATAGATCATGCTTTATCAGTTGAACATTATGGTGTAATGAATAACAGACCAAATACTCCAGCATCTAAACAAGAAAATAGTGAGGTTGAGGATATCATTGACCTATATAATTACTAATTGCTTTTATCCCATTCAGAATTGGACCCAGACTCAGATGAGGATGAAGATTCAGACGAGGACTCAAATGCAGTATCATTAAAAATTGTTTTTTTCTTTTAGCCTCAGATAGTGTACGATTTCTTTGAGAAATATCAGGGTTTGCTATCAAGTTTATAATATCTTGCTGAATCTCAGGCTTTACTATTTTTAGTAATTGACGGAGAAAGATCTGAATTTTTTTATTTGACACTTGTTTAATAATGTGAGATATCACACTATTACTATTTCGAGATTTATGATTATTTTCTAATATAGCTTTATTCATTGTCAATATTGTATTGTAATATGTACCTTGGTACTAGCTTTGCTATTATTTATTATATTAATACATAATAAAATTCAGAATAAATTATAATTATTTTTTGGCGATGTCATGTGTTTTAAATCCACGAATCAGAGATCAGCATAGAAGTATTTCAAAGAAATGATACTAACCGCATTTACCTATAAGTTAAAAATCATCCATAATTGCTATTGAAAATCTAGTGATCCTGGCTCATACTTATTAAATAAAGAGTCTTAGTTAATAAAATCAAAATATAAACATGCCCAATATTCAAGATATTTGTAAAGAATGGACAAAAAATAATTATACCCGATACATGTTAACCAAATATGGTTTAAACTATATCAATAATTTTAAAACGCCAGAAGCTTGGTTATGATTTGCGAAGTATCATCCACCCAAATATATATGTAGATGTTTATTAATACTAGGATATGATATTATTAGTAAGGACCATTGGGAAAACTTTGTATTCCGTATTAAAAATAATCTAACCAAAAATGAATCCATAGCTAATCACTCTAAATTTAAAGAATTTAAAATTCAAGTAACATAATTTGTAACTTTGTATAAAAAAAATCATTCATTATTAATTATCCAGAAGATATATTGTTTATGAAAAAACGAATAAATTCAGCTAAAATAATCTAGCATGCAGTAATTAAATGGCTTTATATACCTGATAGAATATTTGTAAAACGTGCTCAAGAACGGTATTATCAAAAATGCTAATAAACTTGAAAATTCGAGGTAACTCAGAAGATTTTTAACACAGGTAGAAAAGTGTCGATGTGAAATAAAAATCTATGAAGTGTATGCTCCCTTTTCTTCACAATTCCCATAAAAGATCTAGTGATGATCCTTTGGATTGAGTCTTATTGTGGAAACATGCCTGACTCTCCTGGCTCATACTAATTAATTCATGAATGAACAGATCGCCAAATCCAAAATGAGATTTCATAAAATCTGCAAATTGGTTTGTTAATACAGAAATATATTATAAAACAGAATAAATAAATAATAAATTTCAAAGACTTATCTGGTTAAAGTTCGGATAAATGTATTGATTTAGATATTATATCTGTTTATTTTTTAGCTATCAAATAATTCTGGGTAGTAAAAAAATAATATATAGTCAGGTAAGTATGAAATGATAAAAAAAATTTTCATCATTAACCAACTCATCATAATCTATACTATGAGTAACGAACCACTTAGCGAAGGAAAATTTACTAAAAAATACCCCAAACGAGCAGAATTATTAAAAGCCTTAGGAATAAATATCTTAAAAGGTCATCCAAACTCTCTCGC